GGTTCTTGCAGATAGGTACGGGTTCTTACAGACAACATCAAGCATGGTCTACACTGTGGACTGCCATCTTAGCTGTATTATTTCAAAACGAGGTTCCACAAACAGTCGGTACATGTAATATTAGGAATGATCCCCTAACGAAACGCAATCATCAACAGGTGGAATCACCGTTGTCCACGTATTTAGAATTGATCTTTAGCCTTTCCAAGTCACATGAAGCCCGATTGACATTTACACAGCTTTATTGCACCTGTGTTTCAAATGTATTTGCCTCAATGTTAAATGCGACACATCAGTTATATATCCACTGCACTTGTTGATATATTATCATATTTGGTATCAGAATGATGAAAATAGACCGGCAGATGCTAACAAATAATGCATCTTTTTTAATACATTTCCCATATTTTATGACAGCATGGGAATAAACAAAACATTGTTTGATTATATGACCTAGTGAATTCGTGAATTAAGTTCTACAATGTTTTTATAAGCATGATAAATATTGATATTAAAAATGTTAAAATCATAACAGCTCAGTTTGAAATAGACAAACAACCTTCAACAATTGTTATACTAATTTAATCATTTTATCACATGTCCGTTATAACAATCGGTAACAAATCAGACAATCCCTGCGATGAAAACGATGGAAGATTAGTTCCGCACTTGATACAACTTTCTTTGGCTATGTTATCCATTTATATCTAAAGTGACATTTTACGGCAATGACAAGTCCCCCAAATGTACTACAGCATGGTATGTGTTATATTGTATTATTATTATAATGCCCCATGCTACTTAATGTATTGTAATATACACAACATGGTATGTGTTATATTGTATTATTATTATAACGCCCCATGCTACTTAACGCATTGTTATTGTATACACAACATGGTAAGTTATATTGTATTATTATTATAACGCTCCATGCTACTGAACGCATTGTAAAATACACAACATGGTATGTGTTATATTGTAGTATTATTATAACGCCCCATGCTACTGAACGCATTGTAATATACACAACATGGTATGTGTTATATTGTATTATTATTATAACGCCCCATGCTACTTAACGCATTGTTATTGTATACACAACATGGTAAGTTATATTGTATTATTATTATAACGCTCCATGCTACTGAACGCATTGTAATATACACAACATGGTATGTGTTATATTGTATTATTATTATAACGCCCCATGCTACTTAACGCATTGTTATTGTATACACAACATGGTAAGTTATATTGTATTATTATTATAACGCTCCATGCTACTGAACGCATTGTAATATACACAACATGGTATGTGTTATATTGTATTATTATTATAACGCCCCATGCTACTGAACGCATTGTAATATACACAACATGGTATGTGTTATATTGTATTATTATTATAACGCCCCATGCTACTTAACGCATTGTTATTGTATACACAACATGGTAAGTTATATTGTATTATTATTATAACGCTCCATGCTACTGAACGCATTGTAATATACACAACATGGTATGTGTTATATTGTATTATTATTATAACGCCCCATGCTACTTAACGCATTGTTATTGTATACACAACATGGTAAGTTATATTGTATTATTATTATAACGCTCCATGCTACTGAACGCATTGTAATATACACAACATGGTATGTGTTATATTGTATTATTATTATAACGCCCCATGCTACTTAACGCATTGTTATTGTATACACAACATGGTAAGTTATATTGTATTATTATTATAACGCTCCATGCTACTGAACGCATTGTAAAATACACAACATGGTATGTGTTATATTGTAGTATTATTATAACGCCCCATGCTACTGAACGCATTGTAATATACACAACATGGTATGTGTTATATTGTATTATTATTATAACGCCCCATGCTACTTAACGCATTGTTATTGTATACACAACATGGTAAGTTATATTGTATTATTATTATAACGCTCCATGCTACTGAACGCATTGTAATATACACAACATGGTATGTGTTATATTGTATTATTATTATAACGCCCCATGCTACTTAACGCATTGTTATTGTATACACAACATGGTAAGTTATATTGTATTATTATTATAACGCTCCATGCTACTGAACGCATTGTAATATACACAACATGGTATGTGTTATATTGTATTATTATTATAACGCCCCATGCTACTTAACGCATTGTTATTGTATACACAACATGGTAAGTTATATTGTATTATTATTATAACGCTCCATGCTACTGAACGCATTGTAATATACACAACATGGTATGTGTTATATTGTATTATTATTATAACGCCCCATGCTACTTAACGCATTGTTATTGTATACACAACATGGTAAGTTATATTGTATTATTATTATAACGCTCCATGCTACTGAACGCATTGTAATATACACAACATGGTATGTGTTATATTGTATTATTATTATAACGCCCCATGCTACTTAACGCATTGTTATTGTATACACAACATGGTAAGTTATATTGTATTATTATTATAACGCTCCATGCTACTGAACGCATTGTAATATACACAACATGGTATGTGTTATATTGTATTATTATTATAACGCCCCATGCTACTGAACGCATTGTAATATACACAACATGGTATGTGTTATATTGTATTATTATTATAACGCCCCATGCTACTGAACGCATTGTAATATACACAACATGGTATGTGTTATATTGTATTATTATTATAACGCCCCATGCTACTGAACGCATTGTAATATACACAACATGGTATGTGTTATATTGTATTATTATTATAACGCCCCATGCTACTGAACGCATTGTTATATACACAACATGGTATGTGTTATATTGTATTATTATTATAACGCCCCATGCTACTGAACGCATTGTTATTGTATACACAACATGGTATGTGTTATATTGTATTAGTATTATAACGCCCCATGCTACTGAACACATTGTAATATACACAACATGGTATGTGTTATATTGTATTATTATTATAACGCCCCATGCTACTTAACGTATTGTTATATACACAACATGGTATGTGTTATATTGTATTATTATTATAACGCCCCATGCTACGTGTTATATTGTATTATTATTATAACGCCCCATGCTACTTAACGCATTGTTATAGACACAACATGGTATGTGTTATATAGTATTATTATTATAACGCCCCATGCTACCTAACGTAGTTTGTTTTAACCACAATTCATGTTATTGCAATTCTCTTATATAATTGCAATAATATATTATAATATATATTGTTTCCTATTATTAATGTATTAAACCACTTCATGCTACTTACCTTATTGTATCAAAGCACTTCAAGGCATTTATCATATTGTATTATAGCACCTCGTGGTATTTATCATATTGTATTGTAGCACCTCATGGCAGTTATCATGTTGTATTAAAACACCTCGTGTTATTTATCATGTTGTATTATAACACCTCATGACATTTATTATGTTGTACTGTAGCACTTCGTGACATTCATCATATTGTATTATAGTGCATCATGTCATTCATCATATTGTATTGTAGCACCTCGTGGCATTCATCATATTGTATTGTACAATGTAGCACATCATGACATTTATCATGTTGTATTATAGTACCTTATGGCATTTATCATGTTGTATGATAGCACCTCATGGCATTTATCATATTGAATTATAGCACATCATGACATTTATCATGTTGTATTGTAGCACCTCATGACATTTATCATGTTGTATGATAGAACCTCATGGCGTTTATCATATTGAATTATAGCACATCATGACATTTATCATGTTGTATCATAGTACCTTATGGCATTTATCATGTTGTATTATAACACCTCGTTGCATTGATCATATTGTATTATAGCACATCATGACATTTATCATGTTGGATTATAGTACCTTATGGCATTTATCATGTTGTATGATAGCACCTCATGGCATTAATCATATTGAATTATAGCACATCATGACATTTATCATGTTGTATTTGTTGCACCTCATGACATTTATCATGTTGTATGATAGAACCTCATGGCGTTTATCATATCGAATTATAGCACATCATGACATTTATCATGTTGTATCATAGTACCTTATGGCATTTATCATGTTGTATTATAACACCTCGTCGCATTGATCATATTGTATTATAGCACATCATGACATTTATCATGTTGTATCATAGTACCTTATGGCATTTATCATGTTGTATTATAACACCTCGTTGCATTGATCATATTGTATTATAGCACATCATGACATTTATCATGTTGGATTATAGTACCTTATGGCATTTATCATGTTGTATTATAACACCTCATGGCATTTATCATATTGTAGTTTAACACTTCGTGATTTGAACATGTATTTTAGTCCGCCTGTGTAACAAATATCCCTATCGAGGAAAAAGCTCATGAAGCCGGTCGATATAACGTGTACCTTAGGAGCAAAAGTCGACCAGGCCTAGTGTTGCCTTTCGTGGCTTTATGTCACATGTTGTATATTTCAGAAGATTTGTGTTGTTGTTTACATTCGAAGGGTTTTCCTCCATAACACACAAAATACGAATTATTTTATGGGAGTGGAAACCCATTGATACGTTCAATTCAGCGATGTTGAAATATCTCCTCAGCATGTTATAGTATAGCCCCATCTGTTACTGAACACGACAAACATGTTAAAGTGTAGCCCCATCTGTTACTGAACACAGAAAAGCTCTGTTGCTAAATACTATATCGCATTAGTATGTATGTGTGACGTAAGACTGAAAAGTTAACTTAACAATAGATTACTGTTATGAACGAAAGAACAGGGGTGTTTTTGTGCGTCATATGTGTTTGGGTTTGATGGATAGCGAATAAGACTATTGTAGAAGTATACTCAGGACTTTTATTTCGCCTTGACATGTACACAAATGCACGTGGTGTCCTTTTTAAGGTAAAAGCCAAAACTATTTTTGGAGTCAAAAAACGCCCCCTCAATAGTCTGCGCAAAACCCTGGTAATATACCAACATTCAAAACATTTTTTTGATGCGGGGTTAGGGTTTAGGATGAGTCAAAATAATACTCTTAAGGGTCTACTGAAAGCCCTGATATTGCGAATTTACACTGAATATCCCCATTCTGCGACAGTATCTACATTATCATGATTCAATATGGATCTGTCTGTTCTGCTTGTTTTATTTTATCAGTTGTATTGCAATCCATAGAAGTAAGAAATCACTCAGAGTTAAAACTATAGATTTCCTTATTTCGAAAAAAAACATCGTTGCCTTTCCTTTGATCTGTTTCCCGATGCTTGTAATAATCTGTATGTACCTTCTGTCTGCTTTTTTGTATTTCCTTTAGTTTCCGTGTCTCCCTGGTGCCTGGTTTTGCCTTTGTTTACTTGTTGCGCCTCCTCGGTGCTTGTGGTTGTATTTCCTTTAGTTTCCGTGTCTCCCTGGTGCCTGGTTTTGCCTTTGTTTACTTGTTGCGCCTCCTCGGTGCTTGTGGTTGTATTTCCTTTAGTTTCCGTGTCTCCCTGGTGCCTGGTTTTGCCTTTGTTTACTTGTTGCGCCTCCTCGGTGCTTGTGGTTGTATTTCCTTTAGTTTCCGTGTCTCCCTGGTGCCTGGTTTTGCCTTTGTTTACTTGTTGCGCCTCCTCGGTGCTTGTGGTTGTATTTCCTTTAGTTTCCGTGTCTCCCTGGTGCCTGGTTTTGCCTTTGTTTACTTGTTGCGCCTCCTCGGTGCTTGTGGTTGTATTTCCTTTAGTTTCCGTGTCTCCCTGGTGCCTGGTTTTGCCTTTGTTTACTTGTTGCGCCTCCTCGGTGCTTGTGGTTGTATTTCCTTTAGTTTCCGTGTCTCCCTGGTGCCTGGTTTTGCCTTTGTTTACTTGTTGCGCCTCCTCGGTGCTTGTGGTTGTATTTCCTTTAGTTTCCGTGTCTCCCTGGTGCCTGGTTTTGCCTTTGTTTACTTGTTGCGCCTCCTCGGTGCTTGTGGTTGTATTTCCTTTAGTTTCCGTGTCTCCCTGGTGCCTGGTTTTGCCTTTGTTTACTTGTTGCGCCTCCTCGGTGCTTGTGGTTGTATTTCCTTTAGTTTCCGTGTCTCCCTGGTGCCTGGTTTTGCCTTTGTTTACTTGTTGCGCCTCCTCGGTGCTTGTGGTTGTATTTCCTTTAGTTTCCGTGTCTCCCTGGTGCCTGGTTTTGCCTTTGTTTACTTGTTGCGCCTCCTCGGTGCTTGTGGTTGTATTTCCTTTAGTTTCCGTGTCTCCCTGGTGCCTGGTTTTGCCTTTGTTTACTTGTTGCGCCTCCTCGGTGCTTGTGGTTGTATTTCCTTTAGTTTCCGTGTCTCCCTGGTGCCTGGTTTTGCCTTTGTTTACTTGTTGCGCCTCCTCGGTGCTTGTGGTTGTATTTCCTTTAGTTTCCGTGTCTCCCTGGTGCCTGGTTTTGCCTTTGTTTACTTGTTGCGCCTCCTCGGTGCTTGTGGTTGTATTTCCTTTAGTTTCCGTGTCTCCCTGGTGCCTGGTTTTGCCTTTGTTTACTTGTTGCGCCTCCTCGGTGCTTGTGGTTGTATTTCCTTTAGTTTCCGTGTCTCCCTGGTGCCTGGTTTTGCCTTTGTTTACTTGTTGCGCCTCCTCGGTGCTTGTGGTTGTATTTCCTTTAGTTTCCGTGTCTCCCTGGTGCCTGGTTTTGCCTTTGTTTACTTGTTGCGCCTCCTCGGTGCTTGTGGTTGTATTTCCTTTAGTTTCCGTGTCTCCCTGGTGCCTGGTTTTGCCTTTGTTTACTTGTTGCGCCTCCTCGGTGCTTGTGGTTGTATTTCCTTTAGTTTCCGTGTCTCCCTGGTGCCTGGTTTTGCCTTTGTTTACTTGTTGCGCCTCCTCGGTGCTTGTGGTTGTATTTCCTTTAGTTTCCGTGTCTCCCTGGTGCCTGGTTTTGCCTTTGTTTACTTGTTGCGCCTCCTCGGTGCTTGTGGTTGTATTTCCTTTAGTTTCCGTGTCTCCCTGGTGCCTGGTTTTGCCTTTGTTTACTTGTTGCGCCTCCTCGGTGCTTGTGGTTGTATTTCCTTTAGTTTCCGTGTCTCCCTGGTGCCTGGTTTTGCCTTTGTTTACTTGTTGCGCCTCCTCGGTGCTTGTGGTTGTATTTCCTTTAGTTTCCGTGTCTCCCTGGTGCCTGGTTTTACCTTTGTTTACTTGTTGCGCCTCCTCGGTGCTTGTGGTTGTATTTCCTTTAGTTTCCGTGTCTCCCTGGTGCCTGGTTTTGCCTTTGTTTACTTGTTGCGCCTCCTCGGTGCTTGTGGTTGTATTTCCTTTATTTTTGTGGTTCCGAGCTTCTGCGTTTGAATATTCTTTCTTTTGTGTTATTTATCGGTACCTGTGCTCGACTTTTCTGTATTATTTTCATGTTTCGGTGTTTATATTCAAATCTCCTTTCGTTTGTGACTCCTACATCATTTGTGTCTCTGCAGTGCCCCTGGCTGTTTTTTCATTCATTTTTATATCTCCTTTAAGCCTGTGCATGAATTTTCGATGCACGTCTTTGCTCTTTGTAATGGTATCTCCTCGGTGAATGTAGTTGTCTTTCTGCCATTTTCTGTGTCTCTGCAGTGCCTCTAGTTGTCGTTTTTAGTTTTTGCATCGTCTTAATGCCGTGGTTGCATCTCGCTTTGTATACCCCTTTTCGGTGCCTGCGTTTGTCTTTCGCTTTTTATGCGTCTTTGCATATTAATGTTTAATTCTGATACTGTATGTCATACCATTTTGTCTGGTTATAGTTGAGGAGAGTTTACTAAAACGTAGTCGATAAGGATTTTTACGTTATTTACTACTTGGTTCTTCTCTCTTATCTTTTCGTTGACACTGATCGTCTCGCGCCTGCCCTCGTATTTACCGACTTTATATCCTAATGTGAAATCCAAAATAAACAAATATTAAAACTAACAATTTGTTGGAGTATATATAACTAAATGTATAATATCGCTTCCTGTTAAAGTTATATATGACACAATACCTTTTTGACTCTACGAACTCTATTTCTTAAAATAAATTGACAGAATGTCGGTTTATATAAATCAGAAAGTTGAAACTCTGGTAACATTGGCGTCATTTTTACGCCCGGAAAACATCTCAAGACACTCAATATTGCCAATGCCTGTTATTATTAATAGCAAGGCTTCCCTGAATGTCAGAAGAGAATTCCTGAAGTCAACTGTCTAGTCTTGTCTTATTACTGTTGGAGTGGCGTTAATAGCTTCCGATTGAAGGGATCTACTTTGTCAGATTCATTTGTCAGAATCTAAACGATTTTAGAAATATCTGAAGAACTATCGAATTATCGCAACCTGCGCAATACCGGCGGCTGATCTGTGTAAAGGGCACAGCTGTTATGATATATGTTACGAACAACGTGAACACTGATTACGCTTAGGAGCTGTTTGAACAGACACCAGAATGAACGCTATTTTGTTGGTTATATGAAGCAAAAACCTTTATGAGTGTTTAATACCATAGGAGACTGTCATATAAAAGCAAATGATTACATTGACATATTATTATAATATTTATATTGTGTTTAGATTTAGTAATGTAGTGTGTTGTCTTATAGTGGTACTTAACAGTATTAAGAGTGATACTAATCATTGTAGGACATTGCATTACAGGTATTCTTATTACAGTGTAATTTATGATGTGATTATTCGTTTGTTTCGTTACATTTATCCTCCCCCATTTAGAATTCAGGATACCACATACTCCTGCCATTCCGCTTCAGTATGACACCAATGGTAAACTCACTACAAAACTGTATGCAAATACATTTCAGGAATTTTAGTTTCCCCTATTTGAAAAGTGACATCCTAGTCTTTCCTGGATATGGAGTGAACGTTTTTCCAGAGCCTGTTCAGTGAATATCTGTAGGATGCGTCCTGGTGACTTTGAAATTTTCAAGTCAAACATTTTGGTTGACAAGTCATGGTTTGTAAGTTATCAGCATATCCTCCTGGATTTTACGGCAGACATAATAACAAATATCACATGTGGTGAAGGAATAACTCATGCTTCCGGTTCCGCTTGTATATTTTATCCTCCATTTCCGAATTGACAATTTATTATATTTTTAGAGAAAGGTTTATCTACTCCATGTCATTGTCAGATAAGTATATGAATTTCTGACATTTAGTTACTTCTTTAACTGATTACATAATTTCCTAATGTTTTCTTTATGTGTTACCTCCAGATGTCATCTTTATTTTGTTATTTGTTTACGTTCGAAGATAAAAGTGGGATTGTAGACATCGGTCTGTTTTATAAACTGTGGTTCTGTTTACCTATAAGTTGTTTTTAACGGCATTTATACATATCTTTTTTAATTTCAATCTCTTCACAATATTTTTAACTAAAGTTTCATTTTTACCCTCTTGTACTATTTTAACTCTCTTAACCTATCCTGTTATTGATTTTATAAGATATACGACGTTTTAGATGATTTTAATTTTGATTCCCAATGGTTGTCGCATACTGAAAGATTGTTCTGCCCCTAAATGAACATAGTTGTCGACGGGCCGTTAAACTCAAACAATCAAACAAAATTGGTTGTTGTTTTTTGTGCAATCAATTCAAAGAGGCCAAACTACGGACACCATCTGTATATCAGATTTATATGTCTACGGACAACATCTGTATATCAGATTTATGTCTACGGACAACATCTGTATATCAGATTTATAGGTCTACGGACAACATCTGTATATCAGATTTATATGTCTACGGACACCATCTGTATATCAGATTTATATGTCTACGGACACCATCTGTATATCAGATTTATATGTCTACGGACACCATCTGTATATCAGATTTATATGTCTACGGACACCATCTGTATATCAGATTTATATGTCTACGGACACCATCTGTATATCAGATTTATATGTCTACGGACACCATCTGTATATCAGATTTATATGTCTACGGACACCATCTGTATATCAGATTTATATGTCTACGGACACCATCTGTATATCAGATTTATATGTCTACGGACACCATCTGTATATCAGATTTATATGTCTACGGACACCATCTGTATATCAGATTTATATGTCTACGGACACCATCTGTATATCAGATTTATATGTCTACGGACACCATCTGTATATCAGATTTATATGTCTACGGACACCATCTGTATATCAGATTTATATGTCTACGGACACCATCTGTATATCAGATTTATATGTCTACGGACACCATCTGTATATCAGATTTATATGTCTACGGACACCATCTGTATATCAGATTTATATGTCTACGGACACCATCTGTATATCAGATTTATATGTCTACGGACACCATCTGTATATCAGATTTATATGTCTACGGACACCATCTGTATATCAGATTTATATGTCTACGGACACCATCTGTATATCAGATTTATATGTCTACGGACACCATCTGTATATCAGATTTATATGTCTACGGACACCATCTGTATATCAGATTTATATGTCTACGGACACCATCTGTATATCAGATTTATATGTCTACGGACACCATCTGTATATCAGATTTATATGTCTACGGACACCATCTGTATATCAGATTTATATGTCTACGGACACCATCTGTATATCAGATTTATATGTCTACGGACACCATCTGTATATCAGATTTATATGTCTACGGACACCATCTGTATATCAGATTTATATGTCTACGGACACCATCTGTATATCAGATTTATATGTCTACGGACACCATCTGTATATCAGATTTATATGTCTACGGACAACATCTGTATATCAGATTTATATGTCTACGGACACCATCTGTATATCAGATTTATATGTCTACGGACACCATCTGTATATCAGATTTATATGTCTACGGACAACATCTGTATATCAGATTTATATGTCTACGGACACCATCTGTATATCAGATTTATATGTCTACGGACACCATCTGTATATCAGATTTATAGGTCTCCTCCGATCGTCAGACTGTTCCATCACTTCCGAATGTCATGTTTGTCAATCACACTCCTTTATAACATTTTAGAGTCCGAATGTCATTTTATTCAACATTCCGTATGAAAGGGTAATTCATGATTTCCTTATACTGTACAACATTTTCAAGTATTTAACCATTGCAGTAATTTTTCAACAATAACCTCCGGATTTTCGATTTATCCTTTTCACGTTCAAATCAACTTAAAGCACCTTTTTTTCCAATCCATATTTATCTATCAGTCACGAATACCCTATAATACATCATGTCAGACATGTTACATGACATTATCACTATATTTCTTAGGGCCTGTTTTACGTAACTATACCGAGATGAAGTGATGGAGACAGATATGTGTTTTCCGTGTATGGCAGTCACGCCAATAGAGCATGATATCCACTGACATATACGATTTCGATGTCTAGTACCCTGCTAACTTGCCAAACACATTATTTAAGAGTGAATGCAGCATCCGCCACGTCATCATAAGGTTTAGAAGAGTAAAGAGTACATCATGGTGAAACATACAATGACAGAATCCCGAATAAACCACTACCAGACAACAACAGGAAGTATAAGGAAACGTAAAACCTAATAATATATACCTAAGGCGGAATCAGGGTCTCTGACGTCATTATAGAGTTAGAGCACGTGCTTTCTATCGTGTTTCATTTTGTTAACTAAAAAGATCGATATATTATATTAACAATTCCGCTGAAAACGTGATGTAAAATGTTTAGTCACAGACATATTTTTTTTGAAAAAAAGAGGAAAATCATATATCATGTGCTTGGGCAGCTATCAGTGAATGTAAAGATGGCTACCATTTAAAGCTGACCGAAATAATTACAAGAGTCACGTTCATGTAAAACTGATGTTTCCTTAGATTAACACCGTGTACCCCTGGCATTAGACGCTCTTAATAGGGTTGCAAAAATATCGAAAACATACCTTTATGCCCTTTACAAATGTAGTTTTGCTTATCACTTGACAGATGGTATAACTTTATGTTGCTCAAATCTGTATTTTCATAGAATTTAGTGTACTTGTGATAATTATGCTTATACGGTAAATGTAAGTTGAAATAGCTGTATCTAGCAGGAAGTATAGCAAAAGAAATCAAACAAAAACGAAGTTTTGATAATAAAATCAATCTTGAATACAATGACTGCAGCATTAATTAAGAAGTATTATAAACCACCCTGAATTAATTATAACAGGTTGTGATGTTTTATACTTCACTTTATCATATTCTGCATTAAAATGTTTTAAGTATATCATCTAATATATTTTTTATCAAAGTATGAAGCTACTCACATTATATATACAAGGCCATTCTATACATGTTCTGTCTGTTAACATACTTTTTCTTTTATACACACGACGGACCGGCAGTTAGGACTAGACATAGCGCTTACGCATTTCCGGCCTACGTTGTATTTGTAAACATCGTACAACGTCATCATCGGAAGGGCAATCTTTAAGACTTACCACTTAAATGGTAGTGGATGAAAATATCATTACTTTGGTTTTTATTTTCGTGTGTACAATGGACCTTTACAGGTCTATGTTGAGTCATTAACACATGAACTGTTAACTTGTCTAATGGATAATATTGAAAAGTGAACGTCTTACCAAAGGAAGATGAGCAGCAATACCTACCATTCACAATGATCGGGTAAGTAATCTTATTAAATACCCATAGTACAGACAACCTTTCCCCAACTCTTGGACAAGCTGATTTTGTTTACCTATCATGTCTTTCATACAAATCAGGTTACACCTTCAAATAACAAGTAATGTATTGGCCATATCGATTGTATATTACTTCCTGAACTCCTCAATACGACACCACCGACTCTTTATGTACAACACGGAATTTTGAGAGATGGAGGTTTATGACAGCAACGAACAAGTATTATGGTTGCAAGCTGATTTTGTTTACCTATCATGTCTTTCATACAAATCAGGTTACACCTTCAAATAACAAGTAATGTATTGGCCATATCGATTGTATATTACTTCCTGAACTCCTCAATACGACACCACCGACTCTTTATGTACAACACGGAATTTTGAGAGATGGAGGTTTATGACAGCAACGAACAAGTATTATGGTTGCAAGCTGATTTTGTTTACCTATCATGTCTTTCATACAAATCAGGTTACACCTTCAAATAACAAGTAATGTATTGGCCATATCGATTGTATATTACTTCCTGAACTCCTCAATACGACACCACCGACTCTTTATGTACAACACGGAATTTTGAGAGATGGAGGTTTATGACAGCAACGAACAAGTATTATGGTTGCAACCATGATCTCGTTTGGACTTTTCCTTTCTCTTATGTTATATGAATATTGACGATTTTGAGTATGCCCATTGTTGGCCCTGTTTTGTTATCATTACCAAAACTCTATCTTTTCAGACGTAACGTTTTTGAATTTGAATGTGATGTTGGATGTCGATAGTCAGACAAAACGCTTGGACTTTCACCACTCATTTTTTGTTCTTTCTGTACACTTCTAAGAGTGTCTGTTCTATCATTTATTTTTAAAATCTTAAATCCGTTGTTTCATGTATTTTCAGCGTTTATTTAAGACACCAATATTTGTTTAATATATCTATATATTGCTCATTGAATCCATCAGTTGTTAATGAATAACGATATAAAATATTTTACAACTAATTTCTTCCTTTTGTTGAATATCTAAATATGCTTAGGAACACTTGAGACAAGGGTTGTGTTTTTTTTTATTATTCTATGACATCTATCACCAATACCGTTCTTACTCTGCCTGCTTTTCTCCATCGATCAACTTTATTTTTAAGCAAGTGCTTTCTTACTGTGTATTTTTTATGAACATAAACATTCCCATCTACATTGATTTTATTCTACGCTGTGTCGGTGGTTATTAAGTTGACGTGTTAATTGCCTCTAAACTACCTTTAAAACATCATCCTGATGAGGCAGTATGTGCAATACCGATAAATGTCCTACCTTTATATGATCCTTGTTGTGTTGAGACAATAGACTGTACAATTTAAAGTTGAATAAAATAGCGCGAATATTTCCACACGAGAATAAAACACAACACAACACAACAGTAGTCTGTTGTAAAAAAAAAATGTACATTTTATAATGCTTGACCATATGTTTGACGAGTCTTTGACTCAATATGTCATCAAGTTGAAATAAAGACTATTAATACATTAATTAGTGCAAAA